GCATGATATGGGCTTTTGATCTTAACCACTTCAAAGGTTAATTTTTCTGCCCTGGAGTCATACTCATCCCCAAAGGCTACCTCCAGCTCGATCTTACCAACTGGGTATGCCGACTTACCGGGTACTACACCATAAAAAACAGTGTTGGATTGTTTAAGATTTTTATCCGTCAATCCCATCCGGCGGAACGTCTCATAGTAAAGGATGTTGATGCTGCTGCCTCCATCCATGAGTACCTTTGTAAACTTGTACCCACCAACCTGAGGTGCCACCACCAAAGCCAAATGACCCGGATTATCAACCCGGGGCAGGTGATCCTCTCTGCTCCACACAATAGGCTGCTCCGACCAACGTAGATAACGTGGAATTGCCGGTTCAACGGCATTGACGGCCCTCTTGTGGAGTTTCTGGTCTCTCTTACATAAAGTGGTAGTAAAGACATGATACTGTCCGCTACTCAACTGCTTCGGGTTGCTCTGATAGCCAAATTGTTGCTGCTATTGATTCCCTTGGCTGTGTTGCTGATTATATCCTCCCTGGTGACCAGGATGACCCTGACCATGAAAACCTCCTCCGCTTGAACCGGCGCCCGGGCCCTGAAAGCCGCCTCCACCTGAGTCGCCACCCGGGACGTGACCCCCATCAAATGCGTTTGAATTTTTAAACGCCTTCATGATCGTGCAATCCTTCCACAAGTGGGTGGCTGGCTTCTCCCGGGTGTCGTGTCTTGGACAAGGTTCATTCAACAACTGCTCAAGAGTGGGGCCTGGCCCGCCCGATCAAGGGGGTTGTCTGCCCTTGCGCCGCTGATTACCACCCTGCGCAATAGTATTAGCAACAAACTCATCAGCTTTATGTTTATTACCTCCTTGATTTGCCGGGTTATGCTGGTGACCCTTTCCATTGCCGTTCTTCTTTCCCTTCGTTACTTTTTCTTCATCAGATGCGGGGTCTTTGGTGGTATCAGAATCGGCATACTTGACAAGAGCCGCCATCAACGTTCCCATGTCATTACAGTCACGTTTAAGCCGCCCCAACTTCTGTTTCAGAGGTTCAAAATGGCAATTTTTCTCCAACATCAAAACTGCTGAGCCGGCATCCATCTTATCAGATGAATGTATTATCTCCTTGACCCGGCGCACCCAATGGGTTGTAGATTCTCCATCCTCTTGCTTGCAATTGGTCAGATCCACAATCGACATTGGCTGCTTACACGTGTCTTTAAAGTTCTGGATGAACCGTGCCTTCAACTCTGCCCATGAGCCGATGGAATTGGGTGGTAATCCTTTCAACCAGGTCCGAGCCATTCCATCCAACATCATGGTAAAATATTTGGTCATTGCAGCATCACTAACCTCCAACAGCTCCATAGCCATCTCATAACTCTCAATCCAAGCCCCCGGCTGTAAGTCAGCCGTGTAGTTAGGCACCTTACGAGGTCCCTTGAAATCCTTGGGCAACCGATCATTGCGTATGGCTGGGACCAGGTAAGGTACGCCTTCGGTTCTTGTAGCCACTCCCGCCTCAACCGAGGTTGCTGGATAAGCCGGAAAGGTTTGGTGAGCCACTTGCTTCGCTGCTATCTGAGCCGCCCGTTCCGCCTCTTGAAGAATCCTCTCCTGATCCGCCAAGTTAAGAGCTCCAGCCCGCACCGGCTCATACCTATATGGCCGGTTGTGACGTTGAGCATTACTTGACATCTCTGCAGATTCCATGTGCCTACTGTAACTTGGGCTCCGGCTTGGGCGAGGAGTTGAATGAATCATGTCTCGACTGTAGGAGTATGCATCCTGCTGGGCCAAAGCTGTCTGAAGTAGTTCTCTTACCCTCCAGGTTTCAGTTGCTGCTGGCGAGTCGCCTTCCATCGGGAGAGTTGCCAATCGAGTCAACGCTGCAATGAGGTTCTCCATGGGGTTGGAGAAGTGACCCGGGGGTGTTGATATATAACGAGGAGGAGCCGTATTCATACGCGGCGGCTCCATGGTGCGTGGCTGAACTGGTGCACCGGGCGTCGTGACCCGGTTTGCCTCTGGCGGGTTGCTCCATCCAGCTCCGGGTGTATGGAACAGATTCCTCGGATCCAGTGTTAGAGGCAGACGCGACTGAGTTTTTTGACGCCTCCTCCTCATGACTTCGTTTGACGCATTAAGATCCACTGAGAACCGGAAGGTTTCTGCTTGAAGCTGCTGAGCACGAGCATCCAAAGCTGCTCGTTCTGCTGCCATCCGGGTTTCCTCCGCGGCCAGATTTTCCTTAGATTGCACCATCTCCTCTCGCACGCGTGCCACTTCCGCGTCATGCTGGGCTTTATCCGCCGGCTCTACCGCAGCGGTTAACAGAGTCGTCAGTTTATCCATAAGATCCATGAGAACCTGAGCCGGGGGGCGCGCGGGGTCTCCTGACCCGGCAGCTGCCGACCCGGTGGCTGCTGCTGTCACTGCGGTGGAGTTCTGCCCAGGATGCGTCCCTGCCATGAAGACTCCGACCCAATTCGGTGGCTCAAGGGGGTCCGGAATACTGCTGCCATCGGAACAGCCCCCGAGCAAGCCGTCTTGCAGTTGGTACAACGAGTCCATCTCACCTGTTGATGATGCAGTATCAGAGCAGATGGCCGTCTCCCCGCCTTCCATTGATCCTTCGGAGTATTCACCGCCATGGATGCAGCCTACGAAGGCATGCTTCACGACAGATTGAACACGGGTGGACCTGGCGCGCTGAGCCGTTTCGATGAGGTCGGTGTGGACATCCGGCTCAGGTCCTGACTCGCCGATCCGGCCGATGAAGACATGAATTCCGCCGAAGGGGACCCGGTACCCGTACTCGATTGAGCCGGCCTCGGGGCCCCAGCCTTCGTCGTCAATATAGATCTTGCCGCGACGACTCTTGGTCATCAGGCCCACGGCGTATCCCTTGAGCCCTTCGAAGTTGCCCTTCAAGAACTCAAATCCACCGTGTGCTGGCCCCATGGTGGGCGCCAACTGTCGTGGAATTGACACGGCAGATGCCCTAGAGCAAGGACTTAGTCGTAGGGCCATCGCACTAGGAAGCTTAAAGGGGTTAATTGGGACAAAGGACACGAGAGAGTTTTATACTAGTTCAGCCCCTTACGATGAAGGTAAAAGCCTACGTCTAGTTGGGATTGGTATTGCTGAGGTTTCGACTTCCAAGAGGCTCAACTCGCCGGCTTGGTTATCGACTTGGTTGTTTCTTGCCCTAAACCGCCACCGGGTCGTCCCCTTATATACACGGGTTGACGCCAGGTGGCCTACAGAGTCCCGGCCGGCTCATAATCGTGTCCGGCTCGGTGACTTTCTTTACATGTCTTTCTGTACAAATATTTCCTTACATGTGGCGGTTTACTTATAGTATCGGGCCTCAAGCCGGCCCCAGGCCTTTGGGATTTCTATAAGACTTAATAAACTACAAACTTGAATATTTACTGAGCTTCTTGCATAACCCGCCATTGAAGCTGACCCGGCCCCTCCTGGACGGGTCTCAACCAAATTGTCTACAACCTTGGCTTTTTCTTCTCCATTCCCCTCCCTGATTTGGAATAATCTAAACCAAATTGTTACTTTCATTTCCTTGTCCTACTAATCAAATTTTATGAAAATCATGTCATGCATTAACTCAGTCAAATCAAATCAAGTCTTACCGAAGCCTCAAACCTTAGCTATCTTCCATCGCCTTCCCTACAATACCCAAATCAAATCAAATCAAATATTATCAATATCTCAATTAAATCAAAACTTTCCTTGTATTCCCCTAGCCATACTCAAATCAAATCAAATATTATCAAAATCTAAAATATGGTAGGTTTAAGGTACTTCATTTCTTTATGTAAGGTGTATTATTTTTGACATGGTGATCAAGGCACATAACTATAGACAATCTAGTACGAGATTACCCTTAGTTGATTATCGGCAAGTAAAACATTAAGCATGGGAAAGGAAGAGATACATGTAATCGGGATAGAGATACTTTTCCTTTTTTTTCACTGCAATGAGATATACATGTAATCAGATAATTTCCTTTTTCTAGAGGGCTAAAAATAAAATTACGAGGAATTAGAAAAAAAAGTTCCATCTTACATTGTGCAATTTTATCAGAAAAATACACCTTGTATAAAGGAACTGAGTGAGTATATGTCAAACACAATTGATGTTGGACCAATATAATACTATGCTATACTCCATTGCAATGCACGGGCAAGTAACTAATAAATTAAAAATGATCAAAATATCATCTTATCATTTGAAAAATGATGTGGTGAATAAAATGTTCTCTGATGATGTAACTGCACTTCATGACGGTCTTGAGGGGATCGTGTTGATAACGTGTTAGCCTTGCTGGGCAAGGTTATGCGTTTGATATAGACAGAAAAATCTGACTTTTGATGGCAATTAGGTACACACTACACATGACAGAGTACAAAGACATACAAAGACAGAAAAATCCTATGAACTGAACTGCATTCGTTCTCCAACGGCGGGTGGGTGGCGCTTCAGGCCGATCAGTCGGCACAGCTTAACATCCGCCGCAACGCCGCGTTAGCTCGTCGACGAACTCATCGAAGCTCCGCTGCGACGACCCGCCGTGCGCCGCGGCCGCCTCGAGCGTCGTCCTCACATTCTTCACCGCCTCCCGGAGCTCCTCCCCCTCTTTCCCAGACATCACGCGCTCGATCCTCGCCTTCACCTCGTCGGCGAACACCGCGCCACGATCCCCGATGGTCACGCCGACGCGCCACTCCCGCACGACGAGCCGCCGGTTGGTGATCTGGTCAGTGAGCAGAGGGAAGCACAGCATGGGCACTCCCGCCCACACGCTCTCCAGCACGGAGTTCCACCCGCAGTGCGTCAGGAATCCACCCACTGCGGCGTGGGAGAGCACCTCCACCTGGCAGCACCACGGCACCACCAGCCCGCGCCCGGCGGACGCCGCCGCGAACCCCTCGGGCAGCGGGTCCGGGTCGTCGGAGCTCACGATGCCCGGCCGCATCACCACAGGAACCTCGCGCCGCTGGCCAGGACTCCCCCGGCGATCTCGCGCAGCTCCTGCCTGGTGACGTGCGCGTAGCTGCCGAAGGAGATGTAGAGCACGGACCCCGCCGGCTGCGCGTCCAGCCAGCGGGAGCAGTCGGACTCGGCCCACATGGAGGTGGCGACGGCGCTGCGGGCGAAGCCGGCGGGGAGGATGGGGCCCGCGGCGTAGAAGGGCTTCTCGGCGCGGAGCGCGGCGATGGTGGACGGCTCCAGCTCCTCCACGGTGTTGCACAGGACGTAGTCGGCGCCGCGCGCCTGCTCGAACGCCTTGAAGATGATGCGGTGCACCACGCTGGTGGCGTTCGTCTCCTGCAGGTACGACGTGAGCTCGTGCGGCTCGATCGCCGGCACCCCCGGGATGTAAGTGATCGTGTCCTTCCGAGGCTCTGCAACACGTCCCAGAAAGGATCTTCAAAATCGATGCCATGGCAGGCAGACTATTTCGCTACGTTGAATTGATACATGAGCATATGGGAGGTGCTCACCGTTGCATCCGAAGTGGCCCTGCTCGGTGAGCAGGTGGACGTGGTAGTAGAGGTTGAAGATGAGCGCGGGCTCCGTCCAGAAGGACACGTACGGGACGCCGAGCTTCCTGGCCAGGGTGGCCGGCCACGAGAAGAAGGTGTCGGCGACGAGGCACGTGGCGGCCGGGTCGACGACGACGCGGCCGAGCAGCTCCTCGACGTGGCCGGGGAGCGCGTGGAGCAGCGAGCCGTGGAACTCGTCGTGGTGCAGCGACCGGTCGAACCCCAACGGGAGGCCGTCGCTGACGAGCTCGCAGCGCACGTCCATCCCCGCCGCGCGCGCGCCGGCGAAGGCGTCGTGCCCGGCCGGGTCGACGCCGAGGGCGCGCGCCGTCTGGTCGTGCACGGCCTCCGTGGTGACCACCGTCACGGCGAAGCCCCGCGCCGCCAGCCGCAGCGCGAGGTGCGTCTCGGGGACGATGTGGCCCTGCATCGGGTACACCACCACCACCGCGTGCGGCTTGCCCGTGCGGCCGCCGCTCGCCGCTGCGCCGGCGTCCTTTTGCGCCATAGTCAATTTTTGCATGACCTGGCACGTCCCTGCAGGCTGCAGATTCGCTTCTTAACCGTGCTTGAACTCGGCTCAAAGGTAGGTCATGTGTAACCAAAGGGAAAAGGGTACAGGGAAAGTGGTTTTCAAAATATTCCCTCCCAAGCGCATATCGACAGCCAACCACCCTCCTCCGTCGCGCACATGTACGTACACGGCCCAACAACCACCATTGTCCCAAAAAAAGAAAAAGAAGAAACGGTAACCACCATCAATGGGAATTTCATTGTCATGGAGAAGTTCTTTGGCACTTGAAGCCACCGTAGAGTTGTTCTTCCTGTCCTAGAATGATGGGACATGTTGATAGGTTATCTATGGGCAGAGCATCTTTGAACAATATGAACTCACACTAGGTAAATCCTTCAAGATGTAGATGGTTCTGAAGAGTAAGATGATATAAGATGACACCTAGGTTCCATATTTGCCAAACACACAAACAGCAGCAGCCAACCGCTGGTAACAGTTTATCTTATCCTTAAGTCTAAAATCACTCTGCTGTTGGCAATAGGCAATTTGGTAAAATCAGTCAGCTGCTGGCAATAGGCAATTTAGTACTGTATCTCAACAACACCGGCATATTGGGTGCATATTTTTATACTTCTTTTGTCTTTTCAAAGTGTTGGGGCTGAATAGCAAAGATGTTAGGGTATTTACAACCGGACCCCTAATATCCACCTCAACGGGGAGGCAGGGGGATCAGACAGTATCCCCGTGCGGCGCACCAGTGGGTAGTGGAGACGGCGGTGTGGTGGGGCGGGTCGACGACGATCGCCGGCGGCAGTGGCGTGACCATGCATGAAGTTTCACGTGGTTGGCTCCTGCCAACGTAATAGGAGAAGGTGTTTTTAGGGCGAGTTCCCAAAAATATCAAGTAGGAAAACTTGTAAGAGATGCTTTAAGGGCGCGTTTGGTTGCGTGCATCCATCCCAACCAGGGCCGCACGAAAAGAATCTGATATGTTTGGTTGTCTGGGCCGCATCCAAAACCTGGCTCGACGAACTTCAAAGCATGCATGAGCCTGGATCTGGAGAAATGGCCGAATCGACCGTTTTTTTGCAAACCGGGCTGGGTCGACCCACCTCATTCGCACATGGTGGGTCCTCTCGCACAAGAGGATGCGGGCTAGTGTGTAGCATGTATGTTATTTATTTTCTTCCACCTCCAGTAACCTCCTTCTCTAATCTCCTTTCTTCCACCCATTCAAATCTACGTGATTCATTTTGAGGTAAGCTTTACACGAAAAAGATGCACATCGATGTTACTGTTTCATTTTTGTGATCACTTCATAGTTTCATTGACCATAAATATTCAATTTCATGTTCATGTTTGGAGCTATTTTGAATCCATTTTGTCAAATTTGTCGTGCACGGTCGATCGTTTGAAATTTCCTTTGACCAGTATCTTCATCTTGCAATTTCACATGACTTTCGTGTTGTAGATTTTCTGTTTCGACGATCGTAAACGAATAGATCTAACATCTTCCTCGTGGAACGTGTTGGAAATATGAGCAAATTACTACGAGATTTAATCCGAATAAACAGAAGATAAATCATGACCACAGCAGCAGAGATTAAACTAATCATGCAAACTAGCATAGCAGATGAACATATCACATCTAGGGCACATACTAGAAACATGAATTCTACCACGATCTCAAACAGGAAGGATAGAATCACATACGGTGCAACGGGTGCAGCACCGCCGGCGTTGACGTTGTCGCCCATGTCGTCAAGGACGAGGTTGCCGAGGTCGGGGAAGAAGTCGTCGCTGCCAGCAGTCGCGCGAGTGCGCTCCCCAAAAACCTGATCGCCCCTCTCCCATACAGGATCACGAGAGGCGGGGTTCCGGAGGCCTGCTGTCCCTTCTCGCGGTGCACGCCGGAAGGAGGGATGGAGAAGACTTGCTTGGCGGCGCAATGATCTGGAGTGGTGAGAAACCATACGAAGCGGCGGCGGCTAGGGTAGACGTCTGCCTGACTATATAGTGCGGGCCGGGTAGGTCGTGGGAGTAAACCCCACGTCCGAGTCGTCACGATCCAAAAGAATCGGAAACGGTTCAGTAATTAATGACTCATTAATTTTCCCATGCAGCAAAAATATAGACAACGTGCATAGCTCTGTCCTCGGCGGCTCGGCTCAATCCCGCAACCCGCGGCGCGTCGTGACGAGGCGTGGCGTGGCGAGAAGGAGGAGCGTGCGTGTAGGTCTCCTCTTCTCATGCTTATACAAGTGGTAGAAGAGCTCACCTTATAAAGAGGTGCAACTCTCTCTCAACTTTCGGGGTGGGACTAAACTTTAGCCTCACTCACTCCACTCACATGTGTGCATGAATGGGCCAAGAGAATTTCAGAATTTTAGTTGGGCTTTGGACCAAGGCCTACTAGCAAAATTCCAACAGAACGTATGTACGCATATGTGTTATGTGTTAATGACACCCCATAATCTCAGTCTACTCTCCCGTGTCATGGTACACCGGCGTCATCGCTGGCGTCGCTCCTCTCGGCCTCCTCTCCTGCATCGTGAAGCAGCTCTGGCCAGCCATTGTTGTGTGCATCGACCACGCCTACAACCCGCGCCGACCAGCCACTCCCGAGCCACGCGCTCAACGTCCTCCGCTCCTGCGCCGCGCTCAACGACCTGCAGAAGAGCACGACGGCGGGAAGGAGCACGGCGAGGCGAGCCGCGCCAGGGCGTATCGAACTTGGAGAAGAGCATGTCGTTCCCCTCCCCTGCTCGGTATCTATCTACCATTGATGAGCTCCAGAGACTCTGCTTGCCACAGCGGCGGGAGGCATGCTCGTCGACCCGAAGAGGCCGGCGTTCCGCATGGGCAAGCCCACAACGGTGGGCGATGGCCTTGGCGCCGAGTCTGACGGCGGCACGGCAAGCTAGTTGCTTATGTCCTTGTCATCAAGCATTGCTATGGTCTTATGGATAGTTGTTAAGTCTTAATTATACTCTGTGCAGGCAATCAAATAACATGCACTAATATAAGCACAGTCGAGCAACCAAACACAATGCATAGAGACGTTGCTATTATGCAGAGAGAGGAGTTGCAAGCAACCAGTCAACATTACAGATGATGGTTTTTTACCTACATATACCCAGCTAGATAGCTAGATCTTACTGGAACAAGTATGTAAAATGACAAAAAACGATGCAGACAACCAAACACGTCCTAAGTGCATTGCATGCTCCTCGGTCCAAATCTCCAAAGAACTGTTGCGCTATGTGAATATCAGTCTATCGATTGATTTGTCATTACAATCAGTGCATCATCGTCTCCGAGAAAGAATAGCTATCAGTGCGCAACGTCACTGTTTAATTTTTTGGGGGGAAACAAAAATGTATGCCAACTTTTGATTTGTTTGTGAATTCTAGTTAACACTACACAGTATACTACTCCCTCCGTATCAGCTTAGCCTAAAAAACATATTATATTTTGGTACAGAGGTAAGCAGTATATTGCCATCAATATGAAATCCTCACTTCCAGCTTTCCCCCAGAAAACAAGTCTTCACTATCAGCTTTCCTCGAAGGAAAATTTCCCCTTCAAGCCTCCTTCGGTCAAAGGCCGTCCGCAGCAGCGATGATGAACTTGCCAGGCTGAACCCACCATGGATGTTGGTTGATGTATGCTGAACCTTGCAATGTTGGTTTAGTTTCATTCAGAAGAAGGGGCATGTCTTCTAACTTATAGTCGTCCGCACCGAATCCGATCGGTCCGGACTGCTGTGCGCCGCGGCCTGTTGGCTGCACTCCTCGACAACCCTCGTCGGTGTCCTAGCCTTGAGCATCATCTCGGCATACTCCGCCTCAGGGTCCGACAGAGCCACGATCGCCCCGCCCGCCCCCACCGAGGCCTCCCCGTCGTGCAGCACCACCGTCCTGATCACAATGTTCAGGTCGAACGTGCGGTTGTATGAGAAGAACCCGATCGACCCCGAGTAGATGCCCCTCGGGCTGCTCTCGAGCACGTCAAGGATCTCCATCGACCTCACCTTCGGGGCGCCCGTCATCGAGCCCCCTGGGAAGGCGGCTTTGATGCAGTCGACCGGGCTTAGGTCGGGCTTCTTTGTTCCGCGGATGGTGCTAACCATGGTGTGAACTGACTTGTATGACTCGACATCCATGAGGCGAGGAACGTGCACACTCCCGGGCTCGCAGACCTTGCCCAGATCATTTCTTAAGAGATCGACAATCATCAAGTTCTCAGCCTGGTCCTTTTCACTGTTGAACAAATGCAGAACAAAAAACAGTATCAACATTATAAGCACTGTGGTATCCCAATTCGCTAGTTTGTAGGAATAACAATCGACACATCTACATAGTAGTGATACTGAACAGCCAAGAGGACATGTCATTTTCGATGATAAAACTGTGATGTAATGCGATGTCAAAAATGAAATAGTTTCAGCAAGCACAGTTTGTTACTCTGCGGGCTACTGAAATATTTTGAATTTAAATTATCAAATCATTTATGAAGCAAATTAATCCAAAAGAAAAATCGGTAAACAACCTAATTAAACATCTGACAGTACTGATTGTGAGTAGCGCACGCGAATAAATCAACAACAAAAGAAACTGGTGTAACATCTCAAAAAGGGCACATGAAAAGATGTATGAAAAATAAAAGAAGATTATATTTAATATACTAACCTGTATTTCAGTTGCAAGCGTAGACATTCATCTTCCTCGGGTGTTCTGCCACGTGCTATAGTACCTTTGATCGGTTTTGCCTCCAGAATTGCATTTTGATCTAGTCGCAGAAACCTCTCAGGAGAAGAGCAGCATATACTCAGGTTTTCTGACGAGAAGTTAAGCCAGGCTGCATAGGGGGCTGGATTTTGCTTTCTCAGTTTAAGGTACAGTTGAAGAGCATTTATATACTCTATCCCTCTCCTCATCCGAGTGGTCAGGCACAACTCATAACTTTCTCCATCTCTGATATAATCCAGGCAACTTCGAACATCCTTAATGTATTGATCCTTTGATTTTTCTACGACGAAACTTGGCTTATTCACATTGGATGATCCAATGAGTGATTTTCCATTAATCGGTAGTCCTGGTGACACAGCAGCCATCCTGAGAAGCCTCTTCTCAGTCTCCAGCAACCATGAAGTGTGTGTTGTATTATGGTGCATTCCATTTCCATTACTTAAAGAATATTCGTCATATAATGACAGAATATATACATCACCATTGTTGTGATCGATCGCCAAAAGGTTATCAGCAAAGAAGAAGCATGCATCAGGAGTACTTGATTTAGCTTTGTTAGATGATGCATCACATTCAACCTTAAGACCATACCTGGTTTCAAAGGAAAGCTGTTGAGTCAGAGAAGAGCTAAGAGAACTTAAAAAAAAAATACTATGGCACTTCATTAAAATGCAAAAGCACTAACGAAATCATGGAAGACAAATATGAGAATGAAGGACACAAGATTGAGGCGATTCTTTGTGAAGCAAAAAACTATGAACATACTATCTTAAGAAGTAACATAACTGCAGGCAGGAAAACAAGTTAAATACGAAGCATATGATGAAGCCATGATAACAAATCTACCTACCCTAGATATCCAACAAATCCACCATGGAAGTCAAATGGCAGCCCTTCAAAATCCTCTTCATTGTATCTAATGGACTGAATCTCCTGCAAAATGTGAAACATTGAGTAATTGGAGCTCACAGGCAAGATTCTGCTTTGCTGGTAAGCTCAAGATTTAGTCATAGTACATGATCTTAATACCAAATCAACCATAGTGAGAATTCATGAATATATTAGGTGGAGAATACAAACGATGTGGGTAAAAAAGATGCTACATAATCAAATGCCTATCAATGGATTGTGTTGACACGTCTCCAATGCCAATCAAGCACTTACGTTCAGTTTTGTAAAAGAACACTTCTAGTTCCTTGCTAATGTGTATGTAGCCTCACATTTGCTTAATTAGTGTAATGTGCGGTGCAGGCAGAGAAAATAAATAACTTGGATGCAATGGCAGAATACAATATTACCATCACAAAAAAATAACGTGAGGTTCATCAAGTGAACCATTTCAATTTATACCTTGTGAAGGAATTCCAAGAAGCCATCTTTGAGAGAGTTCTTCACAGCAGATCCATGAACACCTCGAATAGTAATGGTTCCTCCACAGTTGGCCCTGGAAGAAATCCAGGATAACATGAAGATTTAGGACACATGAAAATGCACTAAATATTTTTGCTTCTGTTTTGAGTGCCTTCCTACCTTTGATTTGAGAGATGAAAAGTCATTTGCTTCCACAGAGGTCCACCCTTACCGCCCATAAATGAAAAGCGTGCCCTGTTCTGCAAGAAGCAATAGCTCAGAACGAAAATATGATGATCATTTAACTAAAAAAACAGAGAGAAAAATGCATTGTGGGAAGTTAATACATTTCCAGTTGACTAACTTGACTGCAAACTGATTCCAACTTAATTCATGCAGATTAAGACAAATATTACCCACATTTGCTCTGATCATTTCATCTCCTAGAGTGAAAGCAAGGTTCTTTTTGAAACAGCCTTGAGTTAGAAAAAAAATGTAAATGGATAAGTTTTATGCATCTTTTGTTGTTTATGCATTAAATCTGCATGTCAATGAGCATCTAATTAGTTGTAATAACATAAAATCATATCCTCATCAAGCTCCACTTACATCAGATGAAATCCACACACTAAAGTAACTGGATGATCAATCAAGAGTAAGCTGATTTGGCACCTGATCAACTGATGAGCTATCCAGCCAAAATGTATCTTCAGCATTTTGATGACCAAAAAGCTCCGAGAAAATGTCTTCAGAGCCACTTGTGCGGCTGAGAAAGTTACCAATCCTCTTCCATCTCAACCGTAAATATTTTTTCTCGACATTTCTCTCTGCAAGCATGTGAACCCCAACAGAATCGCCAAGCTCCAGTCCTTCAGTGTGTGACAAGCCCTTCGGGACATAATTGCATTGATCTGCAGAATTGACCTGCCGAACAATTAGGAAGTCAACTACAATGGAGTATGAAGGGTATGTGCAGGAAATATTTAGTCATATATGGTACTTGAGGGCTTTCCAGTTTACCAATACTGTGAACCTTTCTTTCCTGAAACAACGATGATTGTGATCCAAAATCAGTTGTTATCCTCTTAAAGTTCTGAAAAATCTGTCTTCCGTAATGAGTAGCAACACTCTCTGGATGGAACTGAAATAAAAGGCAATCAATTGTAAGAGAAAATAACAATTTAAGAGGAAACATGAAACAGAATTAGACATTATACCTGCACTCCATAATGAGGCATGCTGGAATGCTTGATGCCCATGACAATCTTGTAGCCGTCTGGCTTACTAGCATTGTTTATGGTAACTGGAACTTCACAATTGTTAGTGCGCCCTAAAGGGTCTGTTATAGAAAAGTTATTCAATGATCCCCAGAATGAAGTGTTGTCAGGCTTATCGCTATCAAGGAAAGATAGCATTCTGGGAGAAGCCGTCCATGCTATTGATACAAGATCCTCAGGCAGTGAGCTTGCTTCTATTACAAGTGAATGGTATCGCACTACCTGAAAATAGCATCAGTAAGTGCAATGCTTTTTGCAGCGCAAGTGGAAAGTACAGACTGGAACACAAATGGTACAGGGCTTGGTAAATTCAGTGGTACACTAACCTTGAATCCAGAGTTTATACCTGATGGGATATGATCAAAGAGGTAGCATCCATTATGCTCAATTTCACTGATTAAGGAAAGTTAAGTGTCAGGCCATGTGTTAACCGTAAGAGCAGCTAGAACTTGAAGATCATGACAGGGATTTGCATTTATCAGAAAGCTGAAAGTATATATTAGCGCGCAGAAGAGTTCAACATCTTACCTAAGTCGCCCGTGTATAGCCTCAGGAGCGTGAACAATCTTAGCACCATGAACTAATCCCAAGGCCTGCAACGATCAAACACGACATCCATTTCAGGCCAAGATGCCGCCACATGGTCATATATTTCCTTTTTTCCTTTTTCTTCTTAAGACTGATTCATAAACAAGTTCACAAGGACAAACATTATTGTTTCACCTGGTGGCCAAGGCAGACACCGAGGATGGGTATATCTCCGCACTCGCAAAGTATCCGCAGACATACACCTGAAAAACAACATCTATATGGAACATCACACTCTCACATATATAAGTGCAGCAGCTGAATTGGAGTTGGTGCATAGTCCTCACCTATGTCGGTAGGACACGCCGGAGATCCAGGGCCCGGCGAGATCACAATGTTGTCGAAGGCCCTCTTCTTGTACACCCAGTTGTACACGTCCCTCCACGCCCACTCGTCGTTGCGCACCACCACAGGCGGCACTGCAGATTCAGACGACCGACCATAAGGACACCGTCCAGTAAAGCAGTAGGAAAGGTGTGATCTCTCTCAATCCAGTTCAGAGCATCTCCAGTAACAATCAATCAATTCAATTCAATTCAACAAATGGGCACTAGATTAAGGCATGCCCTGAGCGTGTTCGTTGAGAGGGAGAGGGGAGCGGCCAAGCGGGGTTGGTGGGGCGGCTCACCGCCGTTGACGACGGAGAGCTCCTGGAAGATGTTGTAGGTGTAGCTGTCGTAGTTGTCGATCAGGAGCGTCCTCACCGGCGGCTCCTCCGGGCCCGGACCCTCCTCCCCGCCGGCCCGCAGCGCCGCGAGGCCCGCGGGACGCCTGGCGCCGCCCCGGCACAGCGGGTGCTGCCACCGCGCGGAGGACGGCGCCGGCGGGGACCACCTCGCCGTCGGCGGGGCGGGGAGGCGGAGCGCGGCCATCTCTGTATCTCGGCGGCACGGTGCGGCCGGGAGATCAGAGGAGAGGAAGGAGGGAAAAGGCGGCTCGCTTTTCTGGGGTGGTGGTTCGCTGCTGGTGCGGAAATTATTTATGAATGAAATCTTTTGTGCTGCTGCTCCTATCGTCTTGGCGGCTGTGCCCCCACCCCAGTGCCGTCCCCGTCTCCTCCGCCACCGCCACCCGCGGCCCACTGCGGTCGGCGGGAGGTCATGGGCTGATGCTGCTGGGTGGGGGTTGGTGATGGAAACAGCGACACCAAATTTTGCAGAATTTCAGAGCAGGGGATTCAGAATTAGGGCTCTTTGATTCAAAGGAAATTCTACAGGAGTTTGGGAGGATTTTGTGAGATTTTCATATGGTAGTATGTCGTTTGATTCATAGGAATAGGAATAGGAATAGGAATCCTTTTCCCCTCAAAAATAAAATCCTTCTTTTCATGTGGCATGAAACGTTCTTTGACCCAAATTTCTACGGTATGATTTCAATCGTGTGTTTCCCCTCTTCCATGTTTTTTAATAATCCTGCATTCAATAGATTTGGCACCGCGGGAATTGATAAAAATCTTAATTTGGGGACGCCGTTTGAGCTACAGATTAGCTACAACATGATTAATCTTTATTTTTCTCAGTAAGTGAGTGCATCTAATTTAGATTAGGAATTTGATGGCACTATAGATACAATATGTGACTAAAGATTCTGATGACACCATAGATACAAAAAATATATTGTCCTTCGATTCAAAGGAATTTCACAGAAATTTTAGGGGATTCAAAATTATCTCTTAGTAGACCATTTGATTCACACAATAGAAATCCTTGGCAAAAATATTTCTTAGGGTCCCCCCTGTGCACTATCTTGGAGAAGAATTCCATCCACTCAACTCAAGACATCTTGCTTTGTTTTTACTATGATGTCCTCCAATCCTAGGATTCATACATAACATTCCAATCCTACTTTTTCATACATCTTGCTTTGCTTTTCCGGTCATGTTTCCCAGACCTAGGATTCATAGATGACATTCTAATCCTACTTTTTCTTTATTACTACTATTCACATGCTTTAGGAATCTTGCGAATCAAATGCTCCCCTAATGTCCCAACAAATTTTGCAGATTCACTTTTGTACAAAAATTTAGAGCTGTGCCAGAACATTTGGGAGCACCCTGCACCCGGTGCAATTCCTTCAGAGGGTTCAGAGCATAAGACGGAAGCAAAGTAACAGAAGCACTTTGGTCATTGCCACAGCACTGTACCATTGTTACGATGTTTTTGGCTTACGGCCTTCTTTGCCCCGGCAGCATCTGAGCTGGGAAACTAACCAGCAGCTATCCCCTGACAAAGAAGCCAGCTATCCCCTGACAAAGAAGCCACTCTACAGGCAATGTCTACCCTCTCTACATGATCACATAAGTGCAGAAAAGAAAAGAAGCCCTCATCTGCTTCACTTCTAGGGGGAATGAAATGAAATCCCAAGACAAAATGTTCATGGGAGCAAGAACGTCCTCCCCTAGGTCTCTTTCTCCGCGGCTTTCTGCAGAAGAGCCGCCTGGCTGACAAACCTCCCCTGCAAGAACCAAAGAAGAGCATGAGGACCTTCAGAAGCTCCTTTTCAAACTTTCACAGACTACACTACTTGGGAGGGCCCAAAACTCGCGTTAGGGTTGCGACTGTGAGCTTTTGGCATTGCGAAAATTCAATTGCTCAAGAATGAGTTCTGGTGCTTGCCTTGACCCGAGGGCGAGACTCGGCGTGCACCTTCCGTGCTTGGTACCGAGTCTTATTTGAGAGGAGGGGAGTGCACTGCTTCTGCTTATGCTTCAATTTCTGTACGCTGCCTTCCCTGATAGCACCAGCAGCACCATTCTCTAGAAACAGTTCAATATCTGAAAGTTTAGCCTGCAAACGAAGGTTACACATGTAAGAGATGAATCAGATGTTCATATCGTTATTGGCTTATAGCTCACATGGTTTTCAGCATGCTAATGTAGTTTATGGCTGCGTAAACCATGTTCCCTCATAGCAATAGTTTCTATGAAATAATGCAACTGTCATAAAAAATTGGCTGTACAAAATCATCTAAAATGTAGAAAATACATTTGCCACTTGCTAAGGAAATCTTCAGGGGGAAAAGGTCAAATTAATACGGGATATAATATGTCACAGTAGATGTGTCTATGGGTCCAAAAGCACCAGTTTGAGCCCAACCACTCCCTATCAAAAAGAAAGTTATCGGTTGCATGCCTTAAGGTATCTAGTTTCGAACGTGATACAGTTGAGATAAGCCATCACTCATTAAAAGGTCCAGTTAACCTAGAGTTGTTATAAAGCTCATTTTTCTCGTCCTAACTAAACTGATGCAAACATGTATTCTGTCTGTGAGGATTTATTCCTAATATTCTTTACTGCAAATGAGCCTGAAAATCCAGGCTCACCCAAAGAAGCATTTCCTGAAGATTATGACTCAAGGAGATACACTATAGACCAGAATACCATATTGGAATTTTGAGTTTCAATGGGTAGTATTGCATATAAAACAAAATGAAGGATCACCACTATGTAGATCAAATAAGATACTACAATAGGACAATGTGGGTTGAAGATTTGTTTTCCTTCTTCCATCTACACAATCCAGATGATTAAACACTTGGATGTGATGCCCTGTTTTCCTTAATAATGTACTGAGAAGATGAAATTATCATATAGGAGTAGTACTTATCAAATTAGCTTTACTGAAAGATTTTTTTCCCTAGCAGAGACCAGCAGATAACCAAAATTAAGTTGTAATGCAGTGCAGGCATTTCGACCGATCAGTTGTGCCATTGGTACATGAACAGGAATACCAAAATTATCTGAAGAAACTAAACATCCTTACCAGCCCATCTGTGGATGACGCATCAGGTATGTTGCCGTCAGAGAACACGGAGCCTCTGTCATACCACGCCTTCAGCACCTCCTCGGTGTTGAGGCTCAGGCCCAATCCTGTCTTAGGCGCCTTCAGTCCAAAAATTCCATCATCCCCATAAGCAGGGTCAGGAATTTCCTCCTTAACACATGTAATGCATGGCCCAGCGGCGATGTCCTTCAGCGCCTTCTTCTTAGTCTTCTTCTTCTTCTTCTCCACCGGTGGCGGTGGTTCCATCGATGGGGGAGGCACCGGCATAATGTCCTTCAATGGAATGGCAGGGCACATCCACCATTCGCTGTCATCGTCGTGCCGCTTGAGCGCCTGCTTGATGTTGGACCGGGAGCGCCGGAAGCCGAGTCCGAGCACCATGAGGTTTCTGATGTAGGGGTCTATGCCGGAGCTGGAGAGCACGCGGTTAATGGAAGAGGCATCGCTGCCGCTTTCCATACTGAGTTTGCCCATGATGCCGTCGATCCCCTGGGCAGCGGCGCCCTCGTCGACGCCGCCGAGGAGGAAGGAGTCTGCGTCGAAGCTGTCGTCATCATCCTCAAAGTCGAGCTCCCCAGGCCCGTCGGCGCCGGCGCCGTCGGGCGTCCCGGGGGACGGCGCCGAGTCGCGTAACTCGGTGAAGGCGCTGCTGACGGCCGCCGGGGACGGGCAGGCCCTGGCGAGGACGGGGCTCCGCGGCGTCATCGGTGGCGGCGCGGCGGCGTCGCGGAGGAGGCAGGCGGCGTTGCCGAGGACGGGGAAGGGCGGGAGCAAGTCGGCGCGGGAGGGGTCGTCGGCGAGCGCGGAGGCGAGGCCGAGGAGGCGCGGCGAGGGCGGCGCGGCGGGGAAGACGGAGGGGTACATGGAGGCGAGCAGCGCGGCCGCCTCGTTGTAGGTCTGGTTGGGGCGCTTCCGCGGCGTGCGCGCCCGCTTGAGCGAGAGCGAGGAGGCCGAGGAGGAGTTGGAGGCGTCGGAGAGCGCGGAGGAGGCCGAGGAGTGCGCCGGCCGCAGCGGCCCCGCGCCCGGCGGCCCCACCCCCGCTCCGGCCGCCGCCGCCGCCGCCTTGACCATGTCCAGGTCCGGCAGCCGGATGCCCGTCGGGATGCACGCCATCGATCCGAGCGGGGCGGAGCCCCCTAGAGAGAAAGGGGGAAAAAATCCGGCCCGATGAGGAGGGGTTAGGGGAGGAGATCCCGAGTGATGTGACGGAGCAAATCCGGCCGGGGATCGATCAATCTGGACCCGCAATCGCAGGAGGAGGGAGGAGGGGAAATCGGTGCGTGGATGCGCCGCCAGGAAAGGCGAGACCCCCAAACCCCCACCAAACCCCCGCAACCACAAGAGGACGCCTCGTGTGTACCCGGCTCAAAACCGGGGGGAGCACCCAGCAGAGGAAAGGGTAAAGTCCAAAGCAAGCGTGGAGACCGAGGAATTGTTTCTTGTCTAGAAAGACACCACCGCTTGGAGCTGGAGGCCGCCGACGCCCGGCTTGAGGAGAGGAGAGGACGGCCGGCCGGAGGAGGGAAAAAAGAAAAGAAATGCGATGCTGGGGCGAAAGGCGATCGGCAGGCCACCGAGCTGAGCTGAATCGAGGGCCGGAGCAGGAGGGCAGCAGAGAAGGCAGGGAGCAGAGCGCCACGGGCTCACGGGTTCGCCACTACGGGCCTCGGGGGACGGGCGCGACTCATCAATCGCAAGAAAGAGGTAATCAAGAGCCCACACGCACACGCTGCCGTTTCTTTCTCGCCGCCGTTTCCCCTTTCTTTTCTTTTGGATCGAGGCCAGGAGATCGGTCGCAAGCGGACAAGGAAGCAACGGGAGCGCTACAAAACCTCTGCTGGTGCTGGATTACACTCCGGCTCCAGCTCCAGCTCCAGGGAGTGATCGAGAACAGGGCACTGGGGACATGCGAGGTGTTGGACGGACGGACGGACGGACGGAGAAAACAACACAGAAGCAATCAAACCAACCGCTCATGAAACCAGCGGATGCGTTACGCCGGCAGGCGGCCGCAGTTGTCCGATACAGCACTCTACCAGTAGGGTCGCCGTTCGGCCCTAGCGAGCGAGACGAGAAACGAGACACGGAA